AGCTTGTAGTCAAATTTTTGCAGGCAGCTGTACGAACTTCATTACAATTTTGCTATTTATTACGGGTCTGTTCTTAAATCAACATATTCTATTGTGAAACTGTGACGCTTCTAGGCTACATTTCTGTAATTATAATTGGGGTAACTTACAAAAATACCCTTAAAATTAGGAATCTTTTGAAAAATCGTATGAAAAAATTTTTGGAAGTAAAAAATACCATGTAATATTAAAAGTGACATAGTGTCACTTTTTTAATTAAAAAAAAAGTGACATAATGTTATTTTTGAAAGTTAAGTGTCACATACAATGTCACTTTTATTAAAAAAAAATGTCATTTTTATTCAAAAGTGATGTGTCATTAAAAAAAAAGTGATAGAAATAGAAAAAGTAACAAACACTAAAAAAGTGACAAAAATTTGAGTGAAAAAATGACATTTTATGAAAAATTTTGACAATCAAACTCACTTTAAATTCAAATCTTATTCTAATGAAAGGATCAAACTGCCTCTTGTAAATGTAAAAAAATTATAAATTTACATCTCTTTTTACATTTGTTGCCGAAGAAGATAATTTGCATTTTCTTTGCATCTCTCCATTGGAGAGATTTCAGATTACTTTAAAAATCTGAATCTTAATTTAGATCAATTTTACAGTAAGATTAAATATGATCTAAAGTCTAAATATACAACTAGACTCGGATGGAGGGGATCACAATGCTAATGATTTTTGGGATACTGTGGAGATAGCTCGTGAAGATGATGTGGTTATTTTAGAGACAGTTGCACACAGAATTCCTTTCGTAGCTTACGACAATGAGAATGAAAATGTAAATATTTTTACTAATAAGAATTTGATTGCTTTATTCCGAAGAGACATGAGCAGCGTGAGACTTCAGGGGATGGATAGAGTAGACCGTCATCTAACTCCTCGCGTGTAGTTTCCAATAGTGATGATTTGTTTGTCAATTTCACAGAGCTACACGAGCGTGCTAGCCTCGGCACAAGAGGAAATGCTCTTCAAGACTGTAGAGATTGTGAGAAAGTTGAATGTCGAACCAGTGGATAAGTTGCGCTTCTCTGTAGAATGCGCACATAATACGACATACATAGTGGACTTGACCGATGACACATACACTTGTAAACAATTTTAGTTAGAGAGTTTTTCATGTGAGCAGGCATCGCTGTGACTTTGTATCGAGGATTTGCATCGAGAAAATTGTGCTCTCCTTATTATACTACTGAATATTGGAGAGCCGTGTATAAGGATGTCAACGAGTTGGCCGAGTCAACTTGCGAGCTGAAACTTGAGGTTTGAGCAAAATCAAACGAGCTTTTTTCGAGTTTGAGCCCAGCTGAGCAAAGCAAAAGCTCGACCCAAAAAAAAAAAGCTCGGGTCTGGCTCTTTTTTTTACAAGATTACGAATCTAACATTTTTTTTAAAGAATTAAAAAATTACATAATTTATACGAGTTACAAAGTAAATAAAAATTACAATTTATAAAATTGTGTAATGTATACGAATGACAATTTACAACCCTCCTCCTTTTGGACTTGGGATCGATTACATTACGTAGGTGGAGTTAAAATTGTACACGAATAAAATATTTCGTGTACAATTTATTTTGAAACAAATAAATTTAAAAATTACATATTTTTTTGAAATAAATATTTTAAAAACTTACAACATTCTATATTTGGATCTACTGCAACTCTTTGGCCAGTATACTATCAACATGTTCTTGAACACGTAATTTCGCACATTCTCAGTCCTTCAAGCATATTAAAGCCTCCAATATATGTTTTTTTAGTTTTGAACGTTCGTCTGATAAAATTCGACCACATAAACTGAATGCAGCCTCCGATGCTACCGTAGACACCGAAGGTGCTATTAGATCACATGCAATTTTTGATACAATTGGATATTGTCTTTAATTACACCTCCACCAATTTAGAAGACTAAATTTCTGTCATTCTTTTTCAGGTAACACACTACGAACGTCCACACACATATACATAGCTAATTCAGAGGGAATTTCTAAATTTGTACCATCGACATTTATCGCTCTAGACATTGATGAACTAGAATTAAACGAGGGAATACTTGTATTGCTTTCCAAATAATTCCATAAATTATTTGAATTTGTTGAAATATTTTTTTGAAAAAGAGCTTTGGGAAGTAGAACTACGCTAACATTCTTTTTCAGCATAATAATTATACATTTCACATAACATATATTTTATATTCACATGTGATAATTTCACATACATAAAATTTGAAATCCCATTTATAGTGGCTATTATACCATTTAAATGAAGTCAATGGTCCATTATTGAAACTAAAATAAGTAAAGAGGCAATTCTTTCCAATATTTACGAAATTTTAACTTCATAGATCAGATTAAGTCAGAAAAAATCGCAAATTTCTATATTTATGAAATGTGGTAAAACAATTGAAGATGTGGAGTAATAAACCCCGCTACATTCTTTTGTAGCATCGAAAAAATATATTAAATTTTTTTCACGTGAAATGCAATAGACCATTCCCAATCTTCTAAATTATCTTCGGGTCCGTATATATGCCTATCATTATAATATAATGAAATTACTTAAGTATGTAGAGTTCTATCTATGTGTTATATTAGTGGCGAATGATTTTTCGTGTAAGTCATACTCTGCACACAAACTGTTAAATGCTTGTTTTCTTATTGGTGACACAATAATAAAATTTATTATTTGTCTAATTTTATCTAAAAGAGAACTTATATATTCTAATCCAGATTTTACAATTAAATTAATAATATGACATACACAACGTTGATGAAAAAGTAAAGTTCCAAATGAAGGATTAAGATCATTAATAAATCTTTCGATATCACATTTGTTCACACTAGCATTATCAAAAGTAAAATTTCGAACCATATTCCTGTATGATATCTTTTAAAATCATGTATATGTTAGTGATATTATGTGGATATTCTACACATCTAAGTGCAATAATCCTTTTACGTAAAAGTCACAAGTGATCAATATAATGAGTCATAGCAGCAGTATAATATTTTCTATTACCATCGGTCCATAAATCAGATATAAATAATATAACACTATTAAAAAATTTTAGACCTTTAATAGTAACTTGTTTTCTTTTGTTATATAATCTTATAGTATCCGAACGAAAAATATTTCTATAATAAGAAGATTACCTGGGTTAGAGATATTTCTCCAAGAGCAAGGTAAAATTCCTGGATTTATCTCGTAAGCGGCATCTCTGCTACAGCCACGTATGTAGCTATTCCTTCAAAAATCTTTCCCGTGAATATACAAAAGTGGAAAGAGTAGAACAAGAACTGTTAAACACTAGTTCGACCTATTTCTAGTCGAGATCGACTAGCTTCTCTTTGCAACTCCTTAATATGTATCTATTCAAATACGTTGTGCTCGAATTAGGCTTCCAACTAAGGGTGTGCTTGTCACCCATTATTTGGGAAGAATGTATTACGAAATAATGATTGATGTTGAAATGTATGGTTAAAAAAGAAGGATTTTTTTTTTATTTACGTGTAATATTATTTTAATAAAAAATGTGTGATTGAAAATGAGTACTGTGAAAAAATAATGAGAAAGAATGGGAGAAAATGGATGACAAACAAGGGCTAAATTCTTTGCCACAATAATTGCAACACGCTTTCCAAATATCCTCTCTATTTTGAACACTAATTTTTTCACATATCATATGTTGCCAACAATCCGAGAATTATTTTTTCAACTTTTTAATCTTGAGTACTTCATCTTCAATATTCTCCAAATCAATTGGAACATTTTGATATGCATCGTAACCTGATGGAGCACTCGAGCTACCATTAAACTGATTAGGCTCATTACTATTAATATTCATTTATGACTAGTATAATATTAAATACTGAATATTAGAGTAAAAAAAATTGAATATAAGATTGAGAGCAAATAAATTAAAGTTGAAGCTTGAATCTATAACACTGCAAGTTAAAATCGATTAAAACAAATTGATCTGAAATTTAAAATTTTACCTTGTATTTATAGCCAAAAAATCTGTTTTTGTCTAAATTTGAAATTCCTCGTAAATTGAATTGTAAAAAAAATAGAAAATCACATGTCCTTTAGCTGCCTTAAGACAGCAAGTTGCTACCTGCCTCCATTACAGGCAGCATTATAGCTGCCTTAAGGAAGCAAGCTACTATTACAAACAACTATTGTTATTGACTTTTGTGTTAATTTTTTTTTTTTTTTTTTTTAAAGACAGGCCTTGTCAAGGGCTATTTTTGGCCAGTGACACGAGCTGACCCGTGTGGCTCGTCGAGCCACAATGAACCTGCTTCGGCTCGGGCCAACACCCCAAAATGGAGTTCAACCCGAGCCTAGGCTCGCTTCATCCGAGCTATGAGTCAGGCCGTCTCAAACTTTTCCCGAATCAAGCCACCGAGCAGGTGTGACATCGCTAGCTGTGTATGTTGATATAATATTCTCTACTAATTGAAGTCAAGTGGATAGTTCCCGACCATATTCGCCCACTCAATACATTGTCACCATCACTCATTGAATCGCGTGATCCTGGATATCCAAGTACATCTAGAATACCGTCTATCGAAGAAATTTATCTATTGCATAGGTACAACAGATACAAAGTAGTAGGGCATATTCGCTAATTTTGTACAAGTCAAGTTAGCCTAAATAACAATCAGACCATGTGTATTATTATCGGTCTGAATTAAACAATATTTACATTTATTTTACAATATTCAAAATTACGTCGTAATTAAATAAGCAATTGTTTCATATCACAAAAAAAAAAAAATTAATGGCTATACATTACAAAAAATAATTACAAAAAAATTAAATTACAAAAAAATCAAAAAATAATTACAAATAATAAGAATGAATAATTACAAATAATTTATGGATCACAATCAAATTCGTATAAATCGCACGCTAACTTATTTCGCAAATTCTGTATTCATGACTAGTTGATTCCATTAATCTTATGTGCTATACTAAAAAATTTATTGTACTTGATAGTCAAAATGCCACAGTCCCCCCACAAATGAACAATAATGTGTTAATTGATTCCAACTACGTAAAAACTAATTTATATGTTTAAAAATAATTGACAAACACTTACGATATAGATTGTCACATCGTCGTTGACCGCACGATGGCTAGTTTGTCCTGCACAGTCAAGCCCGCCTTTCTAGCCATCAGATTAACGTTCATAATTACCGGCTCCAAGTTCAGCTCTAGCTGCCATTGTGTTAGACATAAATGATCGGGATCATACACATATAACGTCGAGTCAACAAATATGATATCCAGAGCAATGCAGTGATGATTCACGATCACTGAAATGTACATATGCGTATAACCCTCCTATGACTTTTACACAACACTCGGTGATCGCTTGATAACGCATTTGAATATATACCCAGACAGCATGTCTCATTACCTATAAGTTGGAGCACCTGATATTTAATTATAACGGCACGGAAGAACTCGATATTCAGTATTATTTGACCAGGAATTTGGAATAATCGTGGATATCTCTTAGCTCGATCGCATAGAAAGCCTATGATCATGTCGATGTGCTGCATTAAGAAAAACAAAAAAAAATGAGAGGTATTTCATTTAATAAATCAAACATAAAGTATAAAAAAAAGTAACAATATGAGTTACTTACGTAGTCGGCGAGCCAAGTCCCCTGAGTGGTGATATCATGAAACCACTTATATGTGTCCAATATCATCCTTCCAACTATCATACGGCTGACTCTAAATAAATAGATAAAATGTTAAACGAAGCATATACGAGTTATCGTGATCTACTAAAATCATACAATACTTACCTGGGCAAAATTCTTCGCCACTCAATCTCGAATACTTTTCATTTGGCCTGTTCAACCTCCCGAAACAGATTGAGCTACGTCCCATCGACGAAACTGCTTTTCGTCTCAGTTGTGAAAGGAGAGACGATGTACTGTGACGACACTCTCGACCTCTTTGTCGACCAACAGCTCTGACACGTCAACAATACGCTTTTTAGCTTTAGTCACAGCGGTTGTCCTCTTCTCCTCCGCCTCGGCGACCGTCACCTCCTCCAGGCTCGCCACCTCAATCGTCTGTCGGCTATATCACCTCGGAGTGCTACAATATCATCGTGAAGGTCCACGTAATGGTTATGCAGCACTCTAACATCATCGGATAAATCTTCAACCCTTCCTACCAACTGTCGTCCCAAATTGTCGACCCTCTCTATCATCTCTCGACGTAGCACGCCGAGCTCCTGCGCCATAAATCCAGTCAGACGAGCATACAGATCATCGAAATAATGACCTTGACTATGTGGAAGAAATTCACGAGAAAGGTCTCTGGACTGGGATGGAGGTGATGCCCTGGGTGGAGGTGATGCCCGTGGCGGAGGCAATCGTCGATCAACTGAACCGTACTCCAACACAAATATTACAAATTATTAACTTAATCAATAATTGCTAACTCATACAAAACGGTAATCAATAAATTATATTCAATTCACGTACCCAATCTCGATCGTGGACCGAATCGGACATCTGATCGTCTTGAGTGTGCGAAATGGGTAATTCATGCACCAGACCCTTAGCCTCCTCCTCCATCGACAGTGTCAAATCAGTTATTACTTCAAGCTGACATATTAACAATTCAAATCGTTACAATCATGTAATGAGATTTTAAACTACGTACAATATAAATCACAAATGTATAATACTCACATGAGGGTCGTCGAGAAGAGCCGATAATTGTTTCCCAGTTGGACATCCTTCTACTCGAGATGCTCGCCAATGGTACATTCGAGGGCAACGTATACCCCCCCCCCCGCTTCGCAAAGCGAGTACCCAATAGAGGAACGGTCTCATAAGCCCAAATCTACAACACATACAATTATTATATACAAATTCAATATAAAAATATTTTAATATTGATTATGTTAATCATTTACCTGCAGTGCCAAGGGCAACCCATAAGTGTTGTATTTACGCACAAACCCCTTGGGCTTCGAGTGTGATCTAGTGAACACGTGTACAGTATCCTCGAAACATCTCCGACCCCAATGATAGTTGTTGAAGCGATCAATATCGTCGACGATCTCCAGATGGAAGATGTCGATCGCAGTCTTCTTATGGTGACACCGCAACACGCTCTCAAGGATGTAAACCAGACCTAACTTCAGTCTATCTAGCATCTGATCACACCTCCTGATTGCGTCGATCAGCTGCGGTAGAATAATCGCTCCCTGTCCCTGAAAGTAAGCATCGTGTAGCCTATTTCTTCTCTGAATCTCTTTACTAGCTGCTTCATCGCCCGTAATCTTTAATCCAGTGACCAGTGCAAACTCGAACATCGAAAAACTGACGACTTTGCCCCCGAGATCGAAGTGGAAGGCATCACCGTCGACTCGACTCAGCAACCGACATAAAAGTGCATCGATAATCTGCCCTGAGTACTGCACCTCTCTCAACTGGTACAGAGGCCAAAGAAAGGACTGACGCAATATATCTGCATGCTGATCATCGAGTAGCTCCAATACAGTCGTGAAACTGTCAAAGCTACTGTTCCACGTAGCTTTTCCCGGCATCCGTCTCAACTCTACATTTAGATGATAATTCATCCTGCAAAAATTCAAAATGTTAAAGCATTGTGCAAGAGATAATTGAATAAAGTATAATAACAGAAAATTAAGCGAACCAAATCATAACTACTATATGCAAGCGTAGATTCATTTTAAAGATTATTCTATAATAAATATTATTCTACAATATAAATATTATATATACAAATTTAAACAATAAGAAATCATTAAAATTAAATAAAAAATATAAATATTATTTAATTAAGATTGGAAAAATGGAATATTTGTTTACGAAAAATATTTAATTAAAGAATTTTAAACTAAAACATAAAAAGAAAAAAAAAAGAAATTTGTTTATTTAGTTAAAACAATTCAAAAAAAAAAATTATAATAAAAGCTTATCTTCAAGACAAGCCACCAAAAACATGTCAGTGGTAGTGAAGGTTAAAGATATTTAGAAAATAAATTTTTAAAGCTTATAATACACAGAACTAATTTCCTACCATAATGAGAATGAAATATGTTGCACATCAATGATGCGACAACACACATGTTGCCACATCACCAACAGACAATTTATGTCCTACGTACTATGAATAGGAAATCAATGCAACTCCAAAAGTCAGATCATTGTTTATGTTTGACTGACTACACACTTTCTCATAAGCCTCGTGCAAACTATGTAGAAGAAAATGCACAAAATTATGAACCTCACCACTTACAAGCCAACTAACTTCTTAACTTATAAGTTATGAGACCCACAATTACATACATATTAATCCACACAATTACTAAGCCCTCATAAGAAAGAGCCTAAATTCAGTAATTTGCCAAACAATTAAGAATATTTTTTCAAATTAATCATTAATGAACCTAAAAAAATTTAGCCCCTATAGAGGAGCGATTTTTTATAAAAATTTAACAGTTACACGGTAGTCACGATCCCATAGACTTACTTTCTCCAATTCGTACACTTGATATTACTTCAATAGCTCTCCATAAAGACCCCACCCCACCCTACAACATAGTACAAAGGGCATTTTTGGTTATACCATTTTAAGATGATTAATTATCACGACTGGATAGGACTGTTTGTACTTTATAACAGTCAATTTTTTGCTGAAAATTCGTTAAAAACAGCTCCCATACAAGGAATGTCTTCTTACCATTTAAAGGTAGAACTTTAGACCCAATTTCCAACATAAAACTGATATCTCACAATTTATTTCATTTCCAAGTAGAATGCTTTATCCTTTATCCCAATTTCCAACTTACATTTCGCAATTTACTCCATTTCCCCACTGTAGTTTTGCCAAATGTTCCATCTTCACAATTCTATAAAATAATTTTCTGGTTCTCCTATTCCAAGTATCATTTTTGACTGAAATTAAAATGTAGCAGCAGACAGGTAACACGATGCCATACATTAAGAACATCGAGCTGTTTAAAACTGTCAATTTCATATATGCTTCGGGAAACTTGAACTCTCCTATTACAATCAAGAAAAGAGTTCACCATTAAGAAGCAACTATCCCTTCTGCATAAAGGGGTACATCAAAGTTTAACGCACAATTCAAATGTCACAGTGCATTCCAAATTATTGAACAAACTACAATTGAAATGCAGTTTGTCGCTGAGAATTACCAGTAAACGCAATGCCAAACAGAAGCAAATACTCAACAAACCCTAACTGATGAATTAAATTTCAAACTGATGATTTAAATATACCATGCGTTTCCGCCATCTAATGGCATTGAATCACCATTGATCAAAATTGCTAACGGATGCAAATCACGAAAATAATCAATTATACACAAGATAATGCAATTAATTGATTATATATAAATATAAATTAAATCAATATTCAAATGCTCAGTGGAAGGAGAAGTCGTTAATTAATTGGGCTCACGGATAAACCACTGCCCAAAAAACACCAATTGGTGCCTTACCTCTTCATAGCACAAATTATGAACAAAAAGCATTTCATTTTCGAAAATAGTGAGGATTTCAGAAAATATATAATAATAGACAGGGGAGGCTTCAGTGTGTGTAACAACCAGATCATTGATTTATAAAATCTCACTGAAATCCGCTAAGATACTTCATTTATCATCATAAGCCAATTGATAATCATAAAAATCGATCTAAAAAATCTATGAAAATGATATAATCATACAACAAATCAATTTCAAAAAAAAAACATATTCTTTAAGGAAAAGGAATTGACCTTACGTGTTTATGCTCAGACAGCCAAGGGTTAGTCTTCAACTTCTGGGGCTTGAGACCCAGATCGGAAACTCTAGTCCACAATTTGAATCATCACTGCAGCGAAACACGCATTATAGATAAAATGCAAAAGAAATTGGAGAAGGAGTGAAAAAATTCAGATAATTATAAAAAAGAAAGTGAAGAATTAGGAGAGAAGCAGAGTTCGATACGAGGTAGCAAAAAAGGAAAGCAAATCTCTTTTGCTAGGGTTTAATTAAATTTATAGTAATGGGCCTCAGTGTTCGTGGGCTGTCTTCGCAAATTGGATTGAGGAAATTAGGCCCAGTAGTCTGAAAAAAAAACCAACAAGATTAATACACTTAAAATAAATTAAAACCTCTAATCACCGTAATTTATACGTCCCAAAATTGACCTGAAAAGCCCCAAAATCAACTGCTTCAAAGAGGGGCTCTCAAACCATCCAAAACTCCCAAACGAGGAGTTTAAAGAGTGGAATCGACCAGATGATTTGTAAAAATGGGAACTGAAGTTGTCTTTGACTTTTGCCGGCATGATGTTAGGGCTCACTTTGGGACTCATGCCTCTCGGCCTTATTAATCTTGAAGTTCTTGCCAAATCAACCACTCCAAGGACAAAAATATGGCATTATAGTTTTTCTTCTAATTTTGGTTTGGATTGAAATTGCCAATTGATTTTTAGGCAATTGGTATTTCACCTCAGTATTCTGGCTTTTGTTAGAAATATGGTTCAATAGAGTTGTTGTGGATTTCATGATTTTTAACAATAAGTGTTGTGCGGTCATCAATATTAGTTGATTTAAGTGGAGAATTTATTAGATACCTCCAAGGAACTATATTGTCGGTCTGAATGTGTTTTGCTGGAAGTAATACATGTTTTGGGGTGGGAGATGGAAGGGTATGGTATGGTTGGATATTGGAGGAGATGTACGTTGTTGTTACGATGGGAGAACATATGAAGTTTGTGAGGTTTACAAACAATGGAGACATGCTACTGGATTCACAATGCAGATGCCAGAAAAATAACTTTTGCAGGTCATCAGAATATGCACACCAAGTGTTTGACATATTGTTTTATCCAATTCCATATGACAATATGCACAATAGGATCATATTCAGAAAGGACAGAGTTCAAACTTGAATTGACAAGATCATCGAATTTCTTGGTGCTCTTCTCATCGAACAAACACATGAATCTTCAAGAATATAGAGTCCAAACTTCCAAGGAAACTGGATGAGTACAGTACATAACCTGTTGGCCGAACTCCAAGATGTAAGACTTGATTCGAACTTGAACCTTCGACCAAGGAACATAGAACTTTTGCCAACAAATTGATCTTGGGATGAAGCTGACCAATGCACTGAACTAGCCGAAACTCACCAGAAAATTGTAACAGTCAAAGCAGCCCGAAGAATTGAGACTAAAATCGAGCATCTCCAAAGAAAAGCACCAAGAAACCGGGCAAAACTTTGCACAAAACTGCTTGAACAATGCATATGATCTCTTAACATTTTCAAATCTGCCAAGAGATGAAAAACTTGGAATTTTCAAGGACATTGCTAAATTAATCTGATCGGTCTTCGACCAACCTTTAAGAGACTTGAAATTCTTCAATGATAGCATTTCAAATATTTCATGAACATGCCTACCCTTTTGGCCGAACTTTGAGACTCCAAGGGACTTGAAACCTTCAAATACAACTTTTTTATTTTCTTTTTAATTAACGTCACTCTTTTTATTGTTCGTCACTTTTTTATTTTCTGTCACTTTTTTTTTTAATCTGTGTAGCTTTTTATAATCTGTGTCACTTTTTTTAATTCGTGTCACTTTTTTCAACACTTTTTATATTTTCATCACTTTTTTAAATTTTTGTCGCTTTTTTTAGTATTTCTCACTTTTTTTAATTTTTGTCACTTTTTTTTTAGTGTTTGTCACTTTTTTATCAATCACGTTCTTGAAAATTCTATTATTATTTAACAGTGACATTGTATGTTATTTTTTAATAAAAATGTGACACTAAACTTTCAAAAGTGACATTGTCACTTTTTTTTTTTTTAGTTTTCGTCACCTTTTAAATTTTTGTCACTTATTTAATAAGATAAAAAGTGACATATGATATGTTATATTTTTCTAACATAATCAGGATGTCTAGGACAATCCACATGTTGATATGTTAGGAATCGCCATTACGCTAATATATGTTGTTCTAGATATGTTGATTATGTTAAAAATATGATTACTGGTGTTGCATAAATGGATGATGCTATTTTTGCGTTTGTCATTTTTTTTTCGTTTGTGTCACTTTTTTTTGAATTTTGTTACTTTTTAAGCTTTCGTGTTACTTTTTTTCCGAGTTTGTGTCACTTTTTTTTATTTATAAAAAAAGTGACAAATTTTATAAAAAAGTGACATTAGGTTACTTTTTCATTTTACACAGTATTTTTTACTTTCAAAAAACTTTTCATATGATTTTGCAAAACACCTTTACTTTTAAGGGTATTTTTGTAAGTTGCCCAATTGGATTTACACGGAGTCTTTAGACTAAGCCCCCGCTTGGCCCCATTACATTTCATTTTTTCTCTCATATTTTCAACCACACACTATATGATAAAATAATATTTCACGTAAATTAAAAACTTTTCCTTTTTTTTTTTCAATCACTCATTTTTCAAAAAAATACTATTCCACCCATTTTCATTTTAAAAGGGGGAGTCAAACGAGGGCTAATATTTGAGCAATATTTTATCATAAAATAATTTTACACATAAATTTAAATTTTTTCTATATTTTGACTTTACATTCTTAGAAAATCATTATTCTAAAAATTATGTTTCTCAAAAAAAGGGGGCTCAAATAGAGCATTAGCACAAAGTGATTGCTGCGTGAAAATGCGGACTAAAATAAAACATGAATTGGGAGCCTCTTTCATTTTATTGTGAATTGCAAAAAACAATTATCAAAATCGATAATATTACAAAATTTCTTCTCCGAAAACATCTTTAGGACCATGTTGAGCAATGTGACACGAAAAAAGCAGACATTATCAACATAATCATCTAGATGTAGAAACTCTTCTAAATGAAGGGAGTCATCGTACCTCAATATTTTCCATCCTTTTTCTCTCTCTCGATTATTATCTTCCCTCTATTGTGTATTATTTTCTCTAGTGTAAAATATACGTAAAAATGAAATTCAAATAATGGACAAAACTCATTTTAAGACGAAACTTGAAATTTATAATAAGCCCCGGTTTGGACTCCATTTTAATGTAATTTTGGTAGAAAATGTACTTTCGAATAATTATTTTTTGGAGAATGTGTGATTAAAAAATAAGGAAAAGTATTGTATTTAAGTGTAATATTATTTTATTGGAGAATGTGTGATTGAAAATAAGAAAGAGAAAAATATATTTTCAAAATAATGGAGCCGAACAAGGCTAAATGACAAATATAAATAATTTACTTATTAAATTATTCAAATCATAATAACATATGAGGACCAACGAATGTTTATTGATAAAAGTAAAATGAACAATCATTGTTCAAGTGTATGAATAAATTTAAAGATGATCTTTGTTTTACATATGATTTTTCTCCATAAATAAAGAGTCTCTCGAATACGCTCAAATCTTAAAGTTTCAATTGGGCCCCCATGATTTGAGGCCCAAGATTTGTTAACATTGTAACGGGGCGTCACATGTATATTTCACTAGCCACGCCACTAATTTTGTTAAGGAATTAGAACAAATGTTAAGGTAGTGAGTAACGTCCAACATTTTGATAAATTTAGTAGCCAAAACTTGACATCTTAAATTTCAGTGAAGAATTGAAGACGGAGATGTAAGTTTACTGACCATTGGGACAATTAACTCAAATTTCTCAAATTTTGTTCCAAGAGCATTTTGTAATAAGATTAGCAAATTTTATATAAAAATTTCTTTTAAAATAATGAATTTTTTACAATTCAAAAATTAGAAATAAATAAGTTACCTAGTTGGACATTGACGCACGAGTTACTTTTAAAATAATATTTTCTTTTTTTATTTAAATGTAAGGAAAATTAAATTACATGTTTGATTAGAAAATTTTACTTGGGTGTTGGAATTTGAGTCAAATTTTTTTTTTTATTATGCTATAATGTAAAAGAAATTGAGTCATAAAGAGATAGATGCGTATTCCAAGGAAAGAAAATAATAAGAGTATGTTATTTATTCCTATTGAAATTACAATCCCAGTTTAAATAGTCCTAATGTGATACTAAATAAAAAGTGAAATTAAATGACTTCTTTACTTCCACTTTTCATTTAACCAATCATTTAGGACCATCTAAACTGAGATTGGAAACTCGATAAGAGTATATAGCATTAATCTAATTGAAAAGAAAATTGAGCCCTGGGATTAAAATTGATTTATTTTTTTTAATAGATTTTGTTAAAATTTGATGAAATATATTATTGAAAAATTGTGAAGCTAATGTAATACGTGATTAAAATTAATTACTGACTTTAAATAAAGATAAAATCTAAATTTTAACTTCCATCAATAAGATACAAGTGTACACCGTAAATATTCACTTATTATTGCAAACTCTTTTCAATAAATATTGAAAAATAAAAAATTCGAAGGACACAACAATAATTTATTCAATTATTCCCACAAGCAATAAAGCAACAAAAAAGAGAAAACTTACAAAAACAGCAAGACATAATTAACTATTCACTAAAGCACATTGCTTCCGAATTTCACCACTAGATCCAGTCTTGACATCAATACTATTCATTTTCTCCATTGATTTGGAAAATTCTTTATAGAAATTCCCAAGGGAGCCTTCAACAAGTTTTGTAATAAATGACCGAGTTGTTGAGCTTGTTAGCAAAGCTGCATCAGATTCAAATAGACCCCTTCTCTTTAGGACGAGTCTGTAGTAACTAAGATCAAATGTTCTGAAACTCCCGGGATCCATCTCAACCTTTGTAGTCGAATTAACTGACTTGCATTTATTAGCTTTCAGGTTCGTTGCGTATTCACTATCGAGAGACGGATCTTGATCACCCACTCCCGTGAAATTGTACAGTCGATTTGTAAACGACGAACAATGGGAAATACCAATTGTATGGGCACCTAAAATAATTCACAGAAAAGTTTCAATAATGCCGTCAATGATAATTGTCCATCGTGTATATATAATCTTATACTATTTAGCAAGTATAATATTCGTAAATGAAT